GGACACAAAGATCCATGCAAGGTGCCTATGCATAGGAAAAGAGGTTTTAAAATATACAGATATAAAGATATTAAAAAAAGTTAAGGAATTAAAAAAAAAAATGATCCAACATGAGCAATCCTGTGAGATGGACAACAAACAAACCACTGGTCCAGGTCAAAAACTGATTTTAAAAGGGACTTTTGTAATTATACTTATTTTTCAAAAATAATTAAAGAAAACCAGGTGAGATATAATTCCTAGAGTGAGGTTGGGTGGGTGTTTATTCAAGGCTGAGCACTTGTTAGCTTTTCCTACTTATTTTCTTGGAGTTGGGTCCCTAATCAAACCAATGTAATTGTGTATATTTATTCTTGATAAATTTGTTTTTAAATGTTCTAAAATTCAGGTTTATTTGTTGGTAAAGAAGGACCCATGATACACAGTGGTGCTATTATAGGTGCTGGAATACCTCAGGTGATGTACAGAGAAACTAGGCCCTGGTTGTTCAGAGGTTGAATAATGCTATCCACTGGATTAAAAAACTCTATCCAGTGGATAACACCATATGTGTAGCTATCACTTATCTGCTGGATAGCAATTTATCAGTTGGATAGTATTATCTGCCTTTTTACAACTGGGCCAAGATGTACATGTAGATGCTGGTTACTCCTAAGGCCAGTTATTTAAACAAAGTTTGGCTATTGTCTAACTAAACTGCATTCAAAGCCATTCTCAAACTGGTTTGAAAATTTTCAAAACATTTTTGCAAACAGAATGTTTCTTTTTTCTTAATTTGCAGTTCCAAAGTATTGCATTTCGTAAAATCAAATTCAACTTCCCTTATTTCCGAACAGATAGGTATTCATGACAACTTTTTTTACTATTTGATAAAAATGTTATTGATGATAAGGATGAACATTCTATAAATTTAAAAAAATTATATATTTTCTCTTGGCCCTTTAACTTCCATTAGTGACCAAGACAGAATTTCTCCATACAGTATCAATACAATATCGACCAGATAAGTGATGAGAATAAAGAAAAATATCAATTTGGGGATAACTAGTTGATCCAGTATTAAATTCTCTCAACTAACATAAGAATTGAATGGTCGACTGTAAGGAGAATTTCAAATTTGATCTGGAAGTTAAAGGGTTAAACATTGTCCATGCAGTCCAATACTCCATTGAGGCTTTTACAACTAGTGGACATAAAGCTTCTGTGAGAGACAAATTGGCACAGCTAGACCTCAAAATACAGGAAAATGCAACTGCAAGAATCTGAACTTCCGAGTTTCCCTCAGGAAGCCCAGACCTCCTTAGTAAGAGGAGGTCCTCCAACCAAACAGAACTACCTTGGAGTCCCTGCTCTCTAAACCATTCATTTGTACCAAACTGTATTGAACTACTGCTGAGGTGTAAACTGTGATGGACAAGCAACCCTCCAGGAGGTGTATCAATACCTGTCTAAAGTCATTTCATACTTAGAAAGCAGGATATAAGATCCAACCAGTTGTGTTGGTCATTAGCTGGCCAACTTATCAATCACACTTTTTAAAATTATTAAATCTCTTCTAAGTGCATTCTGCCTTCACTATTCTTTCAGAGAGAAGAGAGATTTTGTATCTGGAGGAGCAGCTGCTGGAGTGGCAGGTAAGTACTTTCTAATCATTTTCTCTGAGAATGCACAGACTAAGACATAGACTAAAGTGTACTTAATTTTTTCCCAATTGAGATCAAGCATGACTTTCATTTGGTCCAAAAGCATTCCTATTGCTTTTCTCTAAATGCTTAGCATAGACTATTTGAAACTTTGTAATAGTTTATTTTCATTTTTTTCCCTCTCCAGCTGCATTTGGTGCACCCATCGGTGGAGTGTTGTTTAGTCTGGAGGAAGGAAGTTCGTTTTGGAACCAGGGACTTACCTGGAGAAGTGTAAATAAAATATTTCCTGTTGTGCACTTCATTCTCTAACTTTTAGAAATAAGTTTATTTGTTAGAGCTTATAACTGTTGCCCATTATGGTTATGTGCCTTTTCACATCCATGTAATTCCTGTTCTTCCTGATCAGATACTGTTGCCTCGCTATTGCTTCAATTTTTATCAGGTGTCCATCATGAGGACAACATTTTTGGCCTTGAAATGAGTTCTGATAATAATTATACTCTTGAGCTGAGAAGGGCATTGCAAGACAGTGCAATGACCATGCCATAGATCGATCCAAGACCACTCAGTGTTGTATTATAAGGCAATCTTGATTATAATCAGGCCATCCTTTCTGGCCACAAAATATTTTTTCCTATCATAAATAAAAACTTAATTAATTACTACAGTGGTATAGGTTGTTAAATGAGAAAGAAAGTAACAGCTGTCACAAAATTACATGTTATGAAATGTTTTATTGGATGGAAGTTCAAGTGTCACTGAATTTTATTTTTTCAAAATTGTGTTTAGTTCTTCTGCTCTATGGCTTCCACATTCACATTAAACTTTTGTTTATCTGGCATACAAGGCTATGGCTGGGGCTCTTTTAATCAACCAGGATTACTAAACTTTGGAGTTTTTAGTGTGAGTACCTTTAATATTATTAAACCCCTTTGAAATTTATGATTTTGATATTATGAGCCAGGCTCTTTGGGGTCATAAGGTCATTAGGATTCTTTTGTCAATTTTTGCAAGGTGTTAAATTAAAAAAAAATTTCCCGGCAACAGCTCTTTATATAAAGGACTTACATGATCATCATGCATCAAGATCATCATCCCTATTGTTTTTGTCTCAACAATATTTGATGAAGGGGCTTTTTGAAGCTGACCATAAGTAAGAGTGATCTTTTAATACCATTTACTTAAAATTATCTTTTGAAATATATTTTTGTTGAATTGGAGGTCAAAACTTTCCTGTTTCAGATGTACAAAAGATGGCAATAAAGTGAGATATATTTTTTGACCTCACTAACTGTACTTTAAGATAAAAGCGAAATTAATAGTGTCTGAATTGTATACTAGTTTCAACTAGCGAGTAAGTAACTTTTATGAGATTTACAATTTTTATTAGTATTATTATTACTGATTGAATGAATTCTCTTTCCTGCATTTTAATTAACTCAAAGTGTCATGGAGAGGAGAACTGTAACCTGTGGAACATACAAGATGTTCTGATCTTTATAGCTATGGGCTTCGTAGGTGGTCTCCTTGGAGCATGGTTTAATGCATTGAACAAGCATCTCACAGTGCATCGCATTTTGCATGTGTATTCTCGATCCAAGCATGTGAGGTAAGGTTGCAATTAAGCTCTTTTAATGTTTTGACTCCTAAGAGTGCATTCAGCATCTAATTTCTGATCCTTACAATATATAATATCAACCCTGAATTGCACATTAAGGTTGCAAGAATAAAGGAAATGATCACCAACTAAAGACTAATTTAAAAGCTCTTGATTTTTAATAAAACAAATTCTCCTTGTCAACATGTAAGGATATGTATAGAGAACAGTATGGAGAATATGCATACTGATGTTTGGGTGAAGAAGAAGAAGAAGACCTTTATTTATTCAGGGTATCCCATTCAGATGCCTTAAGCACTGCTATCAATCGGGGCCCTGATAGAAATTAAAATGGTATGAACTTCACAATCGTGCTGAAATATTTCTTCTACAGGTAAACCCTTGGAAAAGTTAAGTTAATCATAAAATATGCGCTGTATACAGTTACAGTAAAAAGGAATAAAATCTTAAAACATTAAAAATTTAGCTTATTAAAAATTACAGAACCATATTATAATAAAAAGAGTTTTTAGCTAAGTCAGTTCTAACCCTTGGTTATGTTCATTTGCCTCGTAACTTGATTGTGGACAGAACTGTTAAAAATAAAATTATAGTTTTTTAAAAATTGTGGACAACATCCTTTAATGGGTGTGAAGGGTTAAATGCTTATTGAAAATGCCCACATATGTTCTATTTTTTTTTTGGTTAATTAAGATCAAAGAGTTAATGCTCCCAGACTTACCAATCAGGAATTTGTCTTTGATGCATTTTCCTCCTCTGCTTCCTCATGCTTCTGTGATTCAAACATCTTCATCCTCAATGATTACTTTAAATTGTTTTTCCATTTTCATTTTCATCCAGTTACCTCTTTCATACTCATATTTATCCTCTTTCTCATGATACTTTTCATCTTCCTCATCATTATTTTTATTCTGATGCCTCAGTCATGCCCAGTCACGTTTTAAAGGGGATCATTCCAGTAGAATTAAGTCAGTTAGTGCTTTTCCCATCAGCATCCAGCTATTAATTTTATAAGAAGAAAAGATTTTTTACCTTTCAGGATTCTTGAAGCAGTCCTGGTTGGTTTGATCACCACATCAGTAGCATTCTTTGGTCCAATTTATCTTGCACGTTGTAAAACACTTCCATCGGTAAGGCTGAAATGTTAATTTCTTATATCTCTCATTTAGTATTTGCACTTTGATTGGTCAATTTAAAATGCTGTATTTCACTGTACAGTCTGCTCAATTCAAAACTTTTTCAAACTGAAGTCTTCTCCCTCCATTTTATTAAATGGTGAATTATAAGAAATATTTTGCTAACTTTGTCTTCTTGGTCCTTTGAGTGAGTTATGGCTGTGTGCCAATTTATGCCTGTGCTGTGCCTTACACCAGGGCCCAGTTGTATAAAGGGCAGATAATGCTATCCAACTGATAAATCGCTATCTGGTGGATAAGTGATAGCAAAACATATAGCATTATCCACCAGATAGAGTCTTGTCTGGTGGATAGTGTTATCCAACCTTTGAACAACTGGGGCCTGGACCATAAATTTAAGTGGAAAAAATTGGACTTAACTCACTGTGCCAACCTGGAACTAGGTTTAATCTCTAGTTAAAGGATAATTGTATACTTCCATGATATCATGCAAAACCTTTAATGAAGCGCTATGAGTATTTTTTTTTTTTGGGGGGGGGGGGAGATGTTTTAGCTTGAAATATATTATTATATTTAATTTTGTATTTTTTATTCAACCTAATTATTATCACTTCCAAAATCTCAATATCAGTTCGGGTTGCACTGAAACATTTTTCATGATATCAGTTGAGAAAATTAAGCATAAAATCACACAATATATTCCTGCTGATATTTTTGTTAGTTCTCATTACTTGGAGAAATTACTTCAAACAATGATACATCATTGGGGTTGAAAGGTCTTACTTAAACCCTTAACTCCCAAGATCTCATTTAGTAATTCTCTTCACTATCTGCCATACAGTTCTTGTGATGTTAGTTTGGAGAACTTGGTATTAGATAACCTAATAATCCCCTAATTGATATTTTTCTGCTTGATATTGTATTGATATTGTAGGGAGAAATTCTGTCTTGGTCACTCATGAGAGTTAAAGGGTTAATGATGCGTGACCTATTTGTTTTTGGTTTTTTTCTACAGGGTAGTGTCTCATCTGCAAATAACACTATATCCTATTTTTGTCAAGAAGGACAGTACAATGACATGGCAACATTGTTCTTCACCTCCCAGGAATCAGCAATACGGCACCTTTTTCACCTGGATGGTATAAGAGCCATTTTTTTTGTTGCATATTTTTTGCCCTCTCTAGGTAATTTGTTTTCAGGACAATCATCAAGTGCTTAACACAACAAAGAATTCAGATGAGTCAGTAGTGATTTTTTGCAATAATTAGAGCTGTAGCTGTTTGAGAACTGTTCATTGTGGCTCTTGCCATTTGAGTTGAATTCTGTGCAGCCAACTGAATGAGATGTGTACAGTATGTTTGCATCATTGAAGAATTTTCCACCATTCAAACAGCTACATTATTTTACTCTTTACATGGAATCTTAAAGCACAGTTAGCACTTACTTTTTGTATGGTTTCTTTTACAGCTAGGAGAATTAGATAATGTGATTTCTATGGCTCATGTTTTCTTTAACCATTTTATCCCTAAGAGTGACTAGCCTCTAATTTCCCCCAGCAGTCTCACCCCTGAATCAAATATTAAGTGCAAGAAGAGGAAATAAGGAAATAACTGTCTACCCCAAAAGCTTTTGATTGCCAGTAAGACAAACTCTCCATTATGATAGGAACTGTATAGAGAACAGAATGGAAAACTTGCATAGTGATGTTAGGATTTAAGAGTGCAGCAAATGAAAATTATCCCTGAATAACCCTGACTATGTTTCTTGCTGCTTGAACAAGCATATACTGTCCATAATATATCACCCTAACTACGAGCATACTGCTCCTCAAATTGTAACCTTAAAATGTTTTTCTTCATCAGGTGCCTTCAGTTTAACATCTTTAGGAATTTTTTTTATTTGTTTCTACTTCCTGGCATGTTGGACGTATGGAGCAAGTGTTCCTAGTGGTCTGTTTGTTCCTTGCTTGCTGTGTGGTGCAGCTTATGGCAGGTTTATTGGCGAGCTCTGCAGGTAAAAAAGCAGCCTTAGTCTGGAAATAATCTTGGTTTTTATCTTTTTTGTGGCCAATGGGAGGGGTCAGGGTAACTTGTGATGGACTGCATCCCATTCAGGGGAGAGTAGCAATACTCCTTGTCACTTCGTGCAACAGAAACTGGGATAAGTATGGGCTGGATGGGCCACTTAACCCTTTAACTCCCAAGATCTAATTGTTAATTCTCCCCTCTACCTGCTACACATTTCCTTTTAAGTAAGTTGCGAGAATTTGGTGTTAGACCAAGATAACAACTTCTACCTGATACATTTGAGTATTCTCATTACCTGTTTGCTGGATAGTGTATGGATATTGTAGGGAGAAGTTACTTGTTAATCACTTCTGGGAGTTAAAGGGTTAACTAACTTGAGTACAAACTTATCCTGTTTTAGTATCAAAATGAAATTCCTTTATAACCACTCATCCAGAGTGTAAAAGCCAGTTTGCATAAATACTCAAGAGAGATTTAATATTTCACTCAGATATTCAATTATATTTTTGGTTTCATTTTTTTATTGAGCCAGGCTACTGGGATATGAGCACACTTACCATGGGACGTTTGCGCTGATTGGAGCGGCGTCTTTTTTGGGTGGAGTTGTGCGCATGACCATCAGCTTAACTGTCATCCTGATAGAATCAACCAATGAGATCAGTTATGGTCTGCCCATTATGATTACACTCATGGTACTGTAGGAATTCTTTTTCCTTCTTATGTGTTGTTTTATATCAGGTTTTACCTTCTCGAGAGCATTTAGCAGTGCTTGTTAGGGACACCATGATAAAATATTTGTAGACAAGTCATTGCTGAGGGTGTGATGTTGGATTCCTTCATTTATTTCAAAAACAACACCCAAAGGCCTGGATGTTTGTAAGGCAATAATTGAATGGATTTTTCAGGAAATACAGGATTAAAAGCTACTTGACCTTGATTTCTCTTGAAATAAAGCTAATTATATTAAAGGCTTGAGTTGTTTTACCTTAGCATAAAATGAAATTGAAGGAAAACATTTAAACTGTTAAATTGTTGGCAATACTTATAAAACAAAAATTAACAAAAATAGTTGATTCACCATTGGTTAGCCTAGTTGTGCTTTGAAGAATCAGGCCCAGAACATGTAATCTCATGGTGCTTACCAGAGATATTGTGAGTACCAATATTCTAAACACCAAATAAATATACAGAAATAGGTCCTTTTCTAAGCTTTCATCATTCAAACAGATCTCATCACCTAAAACATATTTTCATGTGTGTTCAGTTAATATTGCTCATTAAAAATGAGTGGATAGCTCATGCAGTCTCAATCAAACTGTAAGATATGTTCTGATCAAATTTTTTTTCACCTTGTATGTGTGTGTTTCTGCAGGTAGCAAAATGGTCCGGAGATTTGTTCAATGAAGGCCTATATGACATTCACATTCAATTAAAGAGTGTTCCTTTACTTGAATGGACAGCCCCTCAGGAAATGTACAGGTACTAATATAATAAGGGTTTATGATGAGTCACAATCCTTGGTGAATGATATGCCAGAGATTATTAAATAGAAGTAAAATTGAAGATAAATTGTTTTTACTGGTATTATAAAATATTAAAGAAAGAAAGCACAATTTTTTTTTGTGGAAAAAGGGAAGTTTTCTTTAGTAAGTAGGCAGGTAATGGAATATCGTTTGGATTTTGCACAAAAATTGATTCCTATGACAAGCTACAAATAAATAATTGTTCATAGTTTTGTCTGTTGGGAGAGGTTTCTGTTAGATTTTGTGTACTACGTGAAATTGCAACAGTCACACCTCAGCTTGTTCTACCATACATATTAGACACAGAAGTAAATATGCAGTTGACTCCTGCTAATGAGAATGTGCAGTGACATCTAAGGCTAGTGCCTACAGATCTTGATAACTTGAACTTCTTAAGAGCTTATAACCTTTTCCCCTTTGAACAGTGATTAGGGTTCAATTTATTGGCAGTTAACTGAGTGTATTACCCTAAAAAAGAACATGTTTGCAGTTGACATATTTAACAGAGTTGATGTATTTTTGTGGCAGAATGACCCAGTAGTCTAAGCATTGTGTAACTGGAAAAGATCATGGGTTTGAGTCCATTACTTATCAACTGGAATTTCCATTTTCTCTAAGTCTTATCGCAGAAAGTTGTTTAAATATTTTCACCAGATTGAAAGCCTCAGACATCATGGAGTCCTGTCTGTCCTACATTTACCCTCACACAAGAGTTCACTCCATCATTGGGATTCTGAAGACAACAGCCCACAATGCTTTCCCAGTGGTGACCGTTGACAAAAACACTCAAAGGTTACCACAAGGGAATGATTTTGAATACAGAGTTGATTCATCAAATGAATTATTTGCTCGCACAACCACCTTTTCAAGTTTGACAAGCGAGCAAAAACTGCGACGACATTTAACAAGTCATGGAGAGAGTAGTGTGCTGCAAAGGAATAGAGCTGAGTCTGAACATCATCCAAGAATTGAGGGTGTGAAGAATAAGAGGAGAAAAATTAAAAGTGAGAGCCATCAGGATGATTTGAAGGTCACAACTTCTGCTCCTGGGATGTCCTATCCTGTTAATGAAGACAACTTTACAATTCAAGGGAGATTGATGGCTGATCATGGTGTTGGTAAGTCCACCAGCACCTTAATTGTTCAGTAATGGGTATGCTTGTTTTTGGATAAGTTTTTTTACCAGGTGGACTTGTCATACTTTAATATCTACACTTCCATGGAAAACTTTGCAAGGGAGAAGTTGAGAAGAAAATTTGCTTATGGAAATGCAGTTGGGATTTTCCTGTCCCAAACTTGAATCTCTACACATATCCAGAGAGCAGACTGTGCTGCAACTGTTCAATAATACCTGTGTGATGTTTTATCTACTGACGGTAAATTCTACATAACAGCTGCATTTGCCAGTAAAAGCCTTTTTAATAAACTCTAAAATGAAAATTCAGGTATATATATAATTATATATATACAATTTTATTATTATGACTGTCATTGCAGATGTCCCTAGTGGTGCAATTAACCCAAATTTTAGTACTGTATCAGTCCCTGTTTTGACAGACCGGGAGGAGCCCCAGGCACTGACATTTCATGGGCTCATTCTCAGGTCACAGCTGGTAACTCTTCTAAAAGAGAGAGTATTCTACACTGAGAATACACAGGTAAAGTCCACAGTTGCCAGTGATATTGTAGTCAAGTACACTCGTTGTAAGAAGTTTTACTGAGTCAGGAGCAACAAACATAGCAATAGACTATGAGCAGTTTGTCCTTTTTGGCAAGTAAAAAAAATCAGTGAAAGAAGGAGAAATAGATGTTAGTGTGCTGCATAGAATTCTGGGAGTGAGGGGTACGATTTAGAAAAGCATTAATTTTACAAATTAAATTGATGTTAAATTGCTGGTCAGATGGTATAAACTGATAAAAGATTGAAAGATGAGGAACCAAGGGAAATTGATATAAAGGGAGAAAAAGAGAAGACAAGAGAAAGCATTAACTAGATTTACACAAAGAAAGAATGAGTTTGTTTTGAGCAACCAAAAGTACCTGTTAATGCTCAGCTATTATGACTGGAAATTAATAAACACCTGTTAATTTATATTGTACGTCACTTGACATTGTTGATATTTCAGACACCCAAGAGACGTGACCTTAATTTTGAAAGTATGACTGAAGACTATCCTCGGTTTCCTGACATTCATGACGTGCCAGTTGAATTTGAAGATCAACAGAAAATTATGGTGAGCAAACTCGTACTCAGGCAGATTATATTGCTGCAAAGTGTGTTTCTTTATAGGGAAGACGGTTGATTGTGTCAAGATGTATCTTAAAAATATCAATCATGTGAGTGATAAAGAGGGAATTTCTCATTACAGTATTGACACATTTTTAAACAGAAAGGTGATAAGAAGGAAGAAAAACATTAACTGGGGAAAATAGTTGAATGTAACGCCAACATCTCAGGGTTAGCATTTCAAGTGATGTTTAGGAAAAGTGCAGATAAGTTATACTTAACACTTAATTGGCATGAAAGGGGTTATTGATAAGTGCTCCATCATTCCTAGTTTTTTTGGCACCATTTTGTTTCTTTCAGGATGTAACACCCTATATGAACCCTTGCCCATATATGGTATTTCCTTGGACCCCTGTGCCACTGGTCTTCAATCTTTTTAGGACAATGGGGCTGCGACATTTGATCGTGGTTAACACTAAAGGGCAGGTAAGTCTTGCACAAGGATAAGCTATGCACATGTAGTGTCTGGGGCTCTTGTCTAGGTGTGAGCTCATTCTATTGTCACAGTGATGCACTTGTCTTCTGTAAAGCTCTGACTATGAACACTTCAACTTCCATGAGTGACCAAGACAAAATTTCTCCTTTCAGTATTGGTACAATATGAACAAGACAAGTGATGAGAATCAAGAAAAATACTTATCAGGGGATTGTTATTTGATCTAATACCAAATTCTCCAAAGTAACATTATGGAAGAATTGTCTGTCAGGCAGAATGGAGAATTACTATTGAGATCTTGAGAGTGAAAGGGTTAACTGAAAATTTGAATGTTATGGTACCAAGGAGGAGCCAATTCCAGAATTAAGAGTTTACTGGTCTGTGATTGACATTGGCTGTAACTTTTTGGTTTCTTCATGTGCCCTGATTTCTCTAACCTTCGATGGGAGTGATCTGAACGTATAGAACATTCCCTTACTATATGACAGAGCTTTTTCGTTTACACGATTTTGTGAGTTTCATTGAGGCAAGTCTTGCATTGACTTTTTTCACCTTGTAGTATGAAGTGTTAATGGGCTAAGTATGCATCTGGGTGCCCTGTGTAGACTAAAATTCCATTCATGAGAGGAAGCATGTTATGCTTGGTCACATTGGTGACTTGGTCACTGATCGCCGATGTCTCTACTCGATTTTATACGTCAGCGAGTTGGCATTGGCGAGTTGAACCATCGGCGAGTTGACTGGATACCTGTCACATAATGCATTCAATGACTATAAACTGGCCATTGATGGTGGCAAAGTTTGTGACTTTAATTGCATAGTCAACAAGTTACTATCTATACAGATTTGAGTCAGTGTGTATTGAAGATTCTTATTCATATTGATATTTTCCTATTTCAGCTTGTGGGAATGATAACACGTTACAATTTAACCCATGAATACATGGAGCACTGTTTAGAAAACCTTGGCTGAAACTAAAAGTACTACTTGCTGGATGTAAAATTAGACAATCTGCTGGGATTTAATTTTTATAACACTTTAATTAGGAAAATATTCCTCACCATTTGTACCATAATTTTTTTTTCCAGTGGAAAGTAATTACTTTTTTATGCTGTGAATGGAGGGGTGAATGAATAAATTAATGAATGAATTTAGTGACTGGGAGAAAAGGATTACAGATGTAAGAAATATTAAATTTTCCATGTAAGAAATAAAATTTTAGATTAACTTAAGAAATTGATGGATTTTTGCAGTTTATTTTTATAGGAAGAGTAGAGAGGATTCATGCAGAAAAAGATGTTTCCTACATAAATTTGCATGAGTAGTAATAACAATTTTTAAATAGGTAGAATTAAAAATTGCATCTATCTAATTTTTGGAAATTTTAGGCTTAGTTGTAGTTTGGTAATACAACCATTTTCAAATTTTATGTTTGTGATGCAGAGACAAAATTTCAATAGGAAAATGAAAAAAGAAATGAATTAAACCAAATGCAAAACATAGGTGTAAAAGATGCTTATTTTAATAATTAGTTTCTGTTTAAAAGAATATTTTACATACATTAGAAATAAGAATATTCTGTTATTAAAATTACAAGTTGTAAAAGTTTTTTTATAAAATTAAATAAAGGCCAAAATTTATGCATAGCATTTTCTCCATTATTTATTTCATTGTAACACAACAAATGGAACATTGAAATGAAAAAAGTGGACAAGAATGACTCCTCGGTTACACTGAGTCAATAATTGACAGCTTACCACGCCCTTGATTTTTTTCACAGATTTTTAACTAAAACTTTTACATCCCAACATCAGTATGCATATTCTCCATACATTTCCAAAGGTGCTGACACAAGAATTATTTAGTTGGTGATCTTTTCCTCTACTCTTGTAACCTGTTTGATTCAGGGTGATAATGTGAGGAGAAATTAGACACTGGTCAATCTATGGAGTCAAAGGGTAAAGGCAAACATTCTTTACATTTTTGCATCTTATTTGAGGAAAACAAACCCTTTGAGTTTCTTTATTTTGTGCTTGCATCAAACTTAACACAATTCCTTCTATTTTGTGACATCTACATATAACCAGTAGTGATGAAAGAAATCCAACAATTCCACCATTTGTTAAAACATTTACAGTTATCTTTGTTACCTTACACTACAAAGTTAGCATATTATTTTATTACTTTTCCTGGAAATAGAAAGTTAGTATTTGTGGAAGGTAAAATTCACCATTCTTTGCAAAATCTATAATACTTACTCAAAAATTCTATATGCTTCCTCTTCAGTAAGATTTCCAAATTCCCTCTTACAAATTTCAAGTTTCCTCTACACTAAAAAACAACCTTTTTACACTAGTTCACTAATTTTATATTTTCAATTAAAGTACCTGTGAAATATTTGACTAACTGGTCTTAAGATAAGATTTAATTACACCATTAACATTCTTTTTTTTCCCAAAATTATTTGTTTACTAACAATAAATTCATGCAGATCCTTTGGGATACTGATCCTTCCTGTCACACATTGAGAACAGTGCCTTAACCCTTTAACTCTCAAGATCCAATCATTAATTCTCCCTTCTAACTCCTACAGATTTCCTTGTAAATAAGTTACACGAATTTGGGGCTAGATCTAGGTAACAATACTTCCAATCGTCTCCATTATTTTCACATGGGTATTAAGGGTCAGTCCAATTATTTGTAGCATACAAAGTTCTTCACATGTCCTGGGAGAGGAAGCTGTTGAACATTCTGGTCAATGTCCTTTGACTGCAGAGAGTGAACAGGAGATCTGCCAGTTGTGATAGCACCTCTGATGACATGACGTATTTGGCTGCGACAAATTTCTTGTAAGGGGCGAAGTATTTTTATGTCGCATTGGTCGCATTTTCCACTCTTGGTTATGTTCTCGTTCCCTTGGATTTGACACTTGGAGCAGAAATGCTTCAGACAGGAATTACACTGAAACACAAGGAATATGGTTTTGAAATGAAATACAATTTTCTGGCTGAAGGAAACACTTTTAGCCTCTCTCGCCTTCCCACTCTATCTAAAAATTACCACTAGTTACTATAAAATTTCGTTTCTCAGTTTGAATGTTCTGTAAAATGGATTCTAAGTGATACTTTAAAACTGTATTAGCTACGGCTTTCTTAGCGCGGCTAAAATTTTAGACCTCCAACAGTAAACAGTCGCAAGAATTTCAGCACAATACGAGTACAAAGTTGTAATTACAGAGACGAGGCAGGTTGAAAGATCGATCAAAAGATTGTTAAATTATGAATGAATTAAGCTAAAAAGTGTGATTCTCGGGAACAGCTAACCCTTTAACTAAATCAAAATTTAACGTTACCGGCGGTAACGCGAAAGATCTCTGCTTCAGTGTTCGTACAACTAAAAAGCCGGTGTTGTTGTTGGTTACAAGACTCAGCGATGTACACGAGAAACGAAGAACATTGTACAAATTTATTATACCGTAATCCGCCACGTCACTGTATATAAAGATAAAACGTTCTTTCGACTTACCTGGGTAACGGATATGTCCGTACAGACATCGCAGAATTGGTTCTTACACCCGTCACAAGAAGGATAAACGAGTCTAGCGTGAGATGAACAAAGGGAAACTGCGCGGGATTCGTAATCGCCACATCTGCGACAACGAAATCCACAATTTTGACAGAAAAATTTCCCGCAGAAACCATATTGACATTGTAACAACGACCACTCTGGGACTATCAGACCACAGTCTTCGCATTCCCCGTCGAAATCATGATAACAATCAACCACTTCGCTGAAAAAATAGCGAGCAGGCATTTCTACATCCATAACGGAAGCCACCGGGGTTAATTGTTTATAAACAAACCGTTGAGCTTCCGCTAACGCGCGCCTTCCTTGCAGTTCCGAGAAATTTGATTGGCTACATCTTCATCTTTTCATTGGTTGAAACTTTTCAAGGTTATTCGATTTGATTGGTTGAGAAAGAAAAGAAGATCCAATATGGCGGATGGAGAAGCATCGAAAGAACTCACTGCAAAACAGCGTAAAAATAAGAAAAAGAAGGAGGCTGCCAAACGTAAAAAGCAGGAGCAAAGTCTTAAGGTATCTGCTGTTACGTTCGTTTGGAAATGTACGGAGAATGTTCTCAATTTAATCTTTTTTAATGCATATTTTAGGAGTCTGTCGAAGGAAGTGAGAAACACGATGGAAGGGAAACCCAAGAAAACTTCGAGGTAAATACAATAAAAACTGACAAAATTTTTGAAATTAGTTTAATTGATGGATTTTTAATGTTACTTTGAAGTCAGCAGAGGACAAGTTTCATCGAGAGCTGAACTGGTGTATTGAACAGCTTGAGATGGGCCTTGCTTTTCAGAAGACTGACAAGAAACACGGTAATATTTTTTCGCTACTAATAACAGAGCAATTGATTTTGAAAGTCAAAAATAATATTTTGCTTTTCCACGCTCTGTGATTGATTTGAAGCTCTAGTGCCTGCTAGATAACCAATAATACAGGAACGAACATGATATACCCGTACCAATTATAACTTGGTTGCTTGTGTAGATACCCCATCTTTCATTATTTGCTCTGAGATCATATCGTATTTCTCTATAAAGGGGGAGGGGAGGCAGTGGAGGGGGAATAGGGACATGTAGGGTGGGAGGAGTAGGGGAGAGGAAATGGAGCCTGCCATGGTAGATAGTGGGAGTAAAATGAAAAAAAAATGGATAGTTTTTTTTATGTTAATAATGTCACGATAAAAATATATCGCAAAAGTTGACACCAAGAAGCTCAAAAATCAGTTTACCAGGGTATCCCTCAGGGGGCTTATGAGTTTCCATGGCATGCACATTGAGGGCTTTTCGAGAAGAGTAGAGGTCTATGTCTAACCCTTTAACCCCTGAGAGTGACTAGCATCTAATTTCTCCTTAGAATATAGCACCCCTCAATGTTTCATTGAGGTCATAAGAATAAAAGAATGATCCCCAACTAAATAAGCTCTTGATTTTGAACAAATTCTCCTTGTCAGCACCTCTGGAAATGTATAGAGAACAGTATGGAGAATATGCATACTGATGTTAGGGTGTAGGCCAAACAGCAATTCTTATTTGTCCACTGAATCATCACCCAGATTCGATGAATACCACATACTGCAGGCTATGACAATCAACACTGATCCCCAGTTGCCTGATCTTTACCAGCCCCCTCTAATATCCACATAAAATAAGAAAGAAAAATTTAATTTTGTTAAGGCTCACCTTAAAATTTCCAAGATGGCAGAAGAAAGTTGTTTTCCTATGGCACTTTTGATTTGTAGCCTGTATAATTATATATCTTAAGTTGATTTTGAATTATTCATGACCTCAATACCTCCCTTTATTTTTTACAACTTATTCTAACTGTCTCATTACCTTCAGTGGATTGCTTTTTTGATTATATGCTCGCTTTATGTTACAGCCGAAGTTGTTCACCGTCATTTACGATCTTTAAAGTCTTCCAAAACACTCATGGTAAGTTAGAACCATTTATATTGCAGGGGAACTTTGCACTTCTTTTTATGCAGAGTTGTTTTGTAAATGCTATTAGGGGTTTTTGATAACTAAATTTTATAACAATTGCACTAACAGTATAAATATTAAATAAATAGTCAAATTATCTTCTTCACCCTTCTGGTTTGCCTTTGGTTTAATGTAAAAAACTTTTGATTGAAAAATATATTGTTCTCAGCCAAGAAAACGACAACTGATGTTTTCACTGTTTGGAGACTACAGAAAGAAGATGGAAGAAGACAAAAGAAGGGAAAAACAAGGTGACCTTGCAAAGTTAAAGAGTATTTATTTACGACTAGTTGAATCATTTCCACACTTGAAAATTCAGTTGTCATTTAGTTGTTCTGGAATTAGGAATCAGGAAATGAAATCTGTTTCCCTAATTTAGAATATGTTTTATAACACAGGAGAAAAAATGTAATTTGATATTCATTTTCCTGAAAAATTGAAAATCTGTTGACACTAAGAAACACAGATGAGAAAGCTTATAATTACAGTGGGCTTCTTTTTTTTTCTTCAAATATGTAGAACCATCTGTGAATCCAAGACTGACTACTGTTAACAGGGAAGAACAAAAAAGCATTTTTGTCAAAGTTTGTCAGACAAAATGCAAAGATTCAGATAAGGAGGTCAGTGGCTGTTAACCCTTAATGCCTAAGAGCGATTATAGCTTCTAATTTCTTTTAAAAATCTTACTACAAAATCAAACATTTAAGTTGAATGAATAAACAGGAAATGACCACTCACTAAAGAAGCTCTTGATTTTCAAACAAATTCTCCTTGTCAGCACCTTACTAGATAATGTATAGAGAACAGTATCAAGAATATGCATACTGATGTTTGGACTTAAAGAGTTAAATTAGGGTAAAGACCAGAATGTGAATTAATTACATGAATTCTAATTGAACTGAAAGCACTTCGAGTCAATAAACTATGTATTTTAAAATTAACCCTTTAACTCCCATGAGTGACCAAGACAGAATTTCTCCTTACAATATTAACACAGTATTGACCACATAAGTGATGAGAATAAAGAAAAATATCAATTTGGGGATAATTAGTTGATCCAATACTAAACTCTCTGAACTAACATATAAAAATTGTATGGTTGTTAATAAGGAGAATTACACATTTAATCTGGGATTTAAAGAGTCAACTTTCCCTTGTGAGCTGATCCAGACTGAGATCTTTATTTTTTATTTTTTCATTTAAGTTTGTGTGGTTGATTTATTTAGTAATTATTGTAATTATTATTATTATCATTTTTAATTACAGAAAGCCGCAGACAAAGAAGAGATTCCCTCAAACAATGTCTGGAAGTTTCAAACATCTGATAATGAGTTCAGATTTGATTTTGGTGATTCAAGAAGCTAAAATGCCGGTCAGTTGGACCAATTTACTCTTAAGTAATGTGGAAGTCATGTGATGCAAGGAGTAGATGAAAGCAAGGCATACTTCAGTAAGAGCAGTTACCACCTGCTTGTCGCATACTTCAGTCAGAGCAGTTACCACCAGCTTATTACATATTTCAGTCAGAGCAGTTACCACCAGCTTGTTACATATTTCAGTTAGAGCAGTTACCACCAGCTTGTTACATATTTCAGTTAGAGCAGTTACCACCAGCTTATTACATATTTCAGTTAGAGCAGTTACCACCAGCTTTTCACATATTTCAGTCAGAGCAGTTACCACCAGCTTGTTACATATTTCAGTTAGAGCAGTTACCACCAGCTTGTCACATATTTCAGTCAGAGCAGTTACCACCAGCTTGTCACATATTTCAGTCAGAGCAGTTACCACCAGCTTGTCGCATACTTCAGTAAGAGCAGTTACCACCAGCTTGTGACAAATTTCAGTAAGAGCAGTTACCACTAGCTTTTCAGAGAGAGTTAGAGTGGTATGTAAGTGTACTTTCAGGTAACATTTCATTTCAGCTCAGCTTGGTGAAAAACTTCAGTTAAGGAAATTGAATTTTTTTCAGGACATAAAATTTTATTTAAGAGATTAAAAGGAACTACATTTCTTTTTTTTGGTGTTCATTTCAAGGCTAGTTTCAAGCAATTAATCAGTTCGGTTGAGGATGCAGTTATCATGTCGAGTTCAAAGTTTACCTTGTTTCCAAGCCTCTTGTCTATGTAGTGTTTTCCAACTTTTACAAACTCAAAGAGAAGTGCCTGCATTGGCAGATTGTTTGAAAAATGTATAATAAAACTGAATAATTATTGAATTCAGTTTTCACATGATATTATGAACTATCTAGTCACCTTGTGTCTACATTATCAGCTGCCTCTGCCTTCGACTTTGGCAGATAACTCTGACCTTGGTCTTGATAATTCATGATATCATGCTCAACCTTATCCAATAACTACTAAGCATCAAACAAAAACTATTTATCTGTAAAATTTGTACGTAACCACAGAATTTTTACTCTCAGGATTTTATATTAACAGTTGGACTCTCTCCTGGGTGTTCTCTATTCCGATTAACCCCCTAAGAGTGACTAGTATTTCATTTCTTCTTACAGTATCACCCCTGAATCAAATATTAAGGTCATAAGATTAAAAAATGATCACCAGCTAAAGAAGGTCATGATTGTTGATCAAATTCTCCTCATCAGCCTCTTAGGAAATGTACAGAGAACTTATTGAGAATATGTATACTGATGTTAGGGTGTAAAGGGTTAAATCAGTCATGATTTGGTGTCAAATCCAAATAGCACCTCCAGTTGATCTAGTTCATAGCATTGCTTTTTCTAGTCATCTTTCTCTAACCTTTTCAGGTTAGAGTGACCAGTGTCTAATTTCTCCTGTGAGTATAACCAATAAATGGCTGTGAATATATGGAAATCATATATGTGAACTTCAGATTAATAAATGAATTTGAGAGCGATCTTTGCAGTGATGAATACTACCTAAACAGTACTGAAATTAAGGCCAGCTTAAGTATTGTTCACTACTACGACAATTGCTTAAATCATATTCATTCCTTAATCCACAATTCACTTCAAACTCTTTTGGTAATGACTGACTCCCCACCCTCCTTTCCCTCTGAAAACTATGTGAATTTCCCCCCCCCCTCCCCTAAAATCCTCTTTCCTATTCCAAGTGTTAAATAATGACTGGTCTATTAAAATGGCATTAGATTCTTGTGTAGAGATTTTCATTAACTGAAAGTGATACATTTTTGTTGGATTTCAGTTTGTAGTACTCATTTTGAGGTGCACTTATTTCTGTTAATCAGGGCCTCTTCAAAATTCTCCAAAATTGAAACAAGCTCAATTTTTATGCTACATATTGCATATCTTGTTAATAACTTTGCTTGAATTGGTAATTAACTCGATGTAAGTTCCATATCATCTCAAGAGGCAGTTTGACTGTCGCAGTCAGTATTTCTCTGTTGATACTAGTCAGTTTACAACTAGTTAGAAGTGTAACGTGGTATACTTGGATCCACGACTGTTGTTTTTTCATCACAACACAATTTTGATTGTTTGATCCAAAAGTAAACTGGTGCTGATTGTAGTTTGATGAGTTTATCTGTTGTGGTCTAGAAACTGCTTGTGAAGAAAAGTCTACTTTCAAGTGATGGTGAAATGAATTTGATATTTGAGACAGTCAAAGTATTAAATTTAACCAGGTTTTTTTTCTTGATGTTACTCTCTTACAAAAATTTTTAAGGTAAAAAGTATTACTTTCAATATTTTAAGGACACCTAATGGGAGGTTGAATAATAGTAATTTTTTGTTTCTTTGTTTTCGTTCAGCCAGGGAATACATTTTTCGATCAGGTAAAATTCAAGGAAATTTGAAAATGTTGTCTTTTGCAATTATCATAATTGAACACTGTGGAGAAAACTTGAAGCAATAAACAAAGATGAGCTTTAATTCCTCAATATAGCAACTTATATTTACATCATCTGCAAGTTACATGTTGTACCAAGAATCTTATTCTAATTTAACCTGTACATTGCAAATGCAACAAAATGTTTATGGGAAATGTTGCCCACAGTTGAGTTCTTGTAAAGCTCATTTTCAATGTGGGCACTCTTTTGAAAATTTAACAGTATTTTTTAATCATTAAACACATACAATATTTTCCATGTACTGTCAGTAATCAATTTGAATTACTTACTGGTATCATCAACAACTCTAGTCCCCAATGTTCTCTTTACAGAGGGAAGGCTATCTTTCCACAAAGTAGTATAAAGTGCTAGACCTTCCTTAGTGTTGATGATCATGATGGATCATGAGGTTGTCCATCTCTTACTGTTAGTGATAGATTATACAACTCAATAATTTATAATTTAGTCTCATTTAAGTAAATGTCTTAACAAACATGTCTTTTATATACTTTTTAAATGCTATTTCTTAAAATTATTTCAAAGTATTTCAAATCTTTAAAATTAAAAGTTCAAAGTTTAAGATAATTTACATGATCACCAGAGGAGCGTGGGTATTTTCCTTTCCAATATAGAGTCCTTCTTGTAAGCTAAGTCTTTTCTTTTTCTGTGCTCGGAATGAAAGCCTGTTCCCCTTTCTCACTGCTTCAGTTATTTCCACGGAGTTTCTCTGAGCCAGAGGAGATCTGGGAGCTGGAGCCACCTTGTCGGAGAAGAGCTTTTGTGGGACTGATTTTCTACGACCAGAAAGTCTCCTCTTCCTCTTGAAATCAGATGGGCTGGCGGTTTTTTTTAGCAAGCGAGCTGTATCTTTCTTCGAAATCGGAGCTTCGGGTGACACAGGCGTCATGGATATTTCACTTAGGATTTTGTTGATCTGAGTGATATCGGGCGATGGTGGCTCCTCGGCTTCGACGCTCGCGTTTCCGAACACTTCATCTTGATCAGTTACATGTACCTCTTGATCGCGCGATTTTGTGTTTTCACCATGATTTTCATCGCTTTCCTTCGATTTTTGAATGTTCTCCCTCGCGACAGGTACAGTAATTGGGGTGCGAGTAATTACAAAACTCGGTGATCGCGGATCAATGCACAGTTCTCTGTTTTGTGGCGATTCTTCGTAAGTTTCGAGTTGAATCGGTGTTCTCTGTTCTCCTAGTGGTGATCGAGGATCCGCGACTAGAAGTCTTGAGATCCGCTTATCCACAGGTTTCGGTGTTTCCGGGGGTATTTCAGACCATTGTTTGCTTTCTAAGGCACCCATCTTGGTGATACTTCATAAAAAAATTTGATAAATAATCCTCTAGTTACCTACAGGGTGGAACTTTGTGAAGATTTGATTTAAACGATCGAAGATTCGAAATTTAAATGCCCCGGTTTTGCGTGGCTGGTAACCAATCATGTTATTTTCTTGCGAAAAACCGCCAACCATCCAATCGCAGATTCTTTTCAGCTGAAATGGCGCTATCTTTATTGACATGTACAGACATTTTTCACAAAATACTCAATCAGTTCCTGACTATGAAAGTGTTTTCATCAAGCTCATGCGATTTTATTTCTCCATTTTACTGCAATAATTTGATCGATCGTTGACCGAATGAAAGCTCTGTGCCGTTCGTGGACTGTTGGAAATCGATAAGTGATCAGATCTTATCTGAATATTCAGCGTACGTCTTGCTCAGACACGCGGAACGAACAATATCGTTGTTGTCGGGGTCTTAAGGTAGGCTTCCCAAAGATGTAAACACGTGCTGTGTAACCGAAATTCTTTTTGTTTTCTGTGGAATATATGAATTTTAATCTACAGGGATAAAGTTTACGGTCTGCTCTGAGATTGATGCAAGACATGTACTAATTACTATTTCTTTAAAATTAATAGTCATTAAGTAAATTCAGTTTTTGAAACAACCGGAAACTGTATTACGAATAGAAGGCAATCCTTCTAGAGTGACACAAGAAGAAAAATTTTCCTTTTTTGTCGTTTTTAACTGTGTTTTCGTCGCACGCTGTTCACTTGCCCGAGATCACGTACCTACCTGCCACTGAGAGGGGAGGAGACAGGCTGTTGTCACCCTTGGTTACAAGCACGCCGAATACAAAACGGTTTTTATGATCGATCATAATTAGAGCTCATTTGTTGTGATTTAGGACAATTTGGTTAAGAAGTCAATATATTTAAAGTTCTCTTTCCTAGTATCGTTTAATAATGACGCGATCTCCTTTTAGTGAACTTCAAGAGAACAAAATGGGAGAAAGCAAGCGAAAAACTACGACAGGGAGTGTGTTCTGGGAAGCTGCTGAAGAGAAGGCGAAACGAGGCGAAAGTTTACAAGAAGCTTTTAAGAAATTCAGAAAGAAGAGACAGGTAAACATTGTTCTTCACTTGTAAACTGTAGTATAATTTGTCTTTCTGTTTTGTGTTTTTCGTAACTGTTTTGTGCTTTGAGATGATTGCTCTTGACGTTACTTTTAGCTAAACTCGATATGACAAATTGAAGTTATGGCTATGAGCATGTTATTTATTTAACAATTAATAAAACAAACTGAGATACGTGGGAACGTTGTTTTAAATAAATTTATAGCATTAGGAATGATTTCTTCTCCTGATGTTTACAAAACACAGTAGATTTGAAGATGAAATTTAATTAAATTGTGTATAATTACAGAATCCGCTTGACAATGAGACAGTTTTGAATTATGTGATTTTATTAGCTGTCATACAACCTGTAGATGATTTGAAGGAGCAACACTTGTCACAAAATTGAAATTTTTCGTTTAGGAAGCTGGGGAAATTAATTTCAGGTAGTGCTTTTATCAAATGCTTTTGTGTGGAATGCCTCGTCTGTTTTCGATTCAGCATTGTTGGTAAAATGAATTAAACCTTTACAATTATAATTTACCTTGCTCTACAAATTATGTATACACATCTTCATAGAGGTGGTCTTGAAAAGACATGTTTGTTGCAACTTCACCAGATAATTTCACGTAAGTTCTGGAGGTGTCAAGTTCAAATGTTGCCTTGGAATTTTAAAATAAAATTGTTATGTTATCAGCTCTGCTGTAGAAATATTGATAATTCTATTGTGACGCTGAACATTGCAGAATGCTATACGTTTATCCAAACAAGTTGATGAGGAGACCGTAAAGTGGAGAGTTGATCCTGTGAGAATGAATAACCTCCGAGTGAAATTTGTTGAGCAGTGTAAGCTATACTTTGGTGTGCCTTATGCCAAGAAATACCAGGAACCAGGATGTAAGATTCAAATTTGCTAACTTTGAACTCTGAAAATATGTAATAGCAGTATTGCTTTTAAGAAGTGTGCATGTTGTTTAATTACAACATCAAGAAAAAATAATTTATATATCCAGGGTTGAGAGGGTTGCCTGTAAGATTGTGAGTGATGGGGACTGTAATACAAAGTAAATGGCATTAGGGGTGTGAAATGTTCTCCTTTATTTTGTGCATAATGGGTAAAATAAATTTTCTAACTGGTAGAGCAATGCTTTTAACTGTCAAATCTTCAGGAATTCCAAGCGATTTTACAGAAGTGGGGGATTAACAGAGGAGATGCAAGTTTTTTTCTATCAGTTTCAACAATGTGAAGTGAGTTTGGGGGCAGTGTAACTCTGCTAGACAGTGCACTCTCTCAACCTCAACCTGGGGGCAACTTGACTTGGGGGTGGGGGGGGGGGACTTATTGGAAGGGGATGACATGAGCTGTCACTGAGATTGGTGAAAAGTTTTTAATAAACTGACTTGTTTCAGAGGAGTAATATTTGGCAATATACACTGAATTTTTGTTCCTAAAATGATACCGTTTGGCTGTTTTCAACTTTAAATCATGTACAGTATATTAATAGAACTGAAACAGAATTTTGTGTCTCCACAGCGGCAGAGTTCAATGCACCATTCTTTCTTGATTGCTGTGGTTTGATCAGAAAGGTACTGAGGGATCTCAAAGAAGATTTTGGTTTTGAAGTTGGGCCATGGAATCAAGCCTACATGGTAAAGAGTTGCAGTTGTTA